CCTGTAGTTCCAGCTACTTGGAAGGCTGAGGCGGAAGGATCGCTGGAGCCCAGCAGGTTGAAGCTGGGGTGGCCGTGAGCCTGCCACTGCACTCCAGACTGGGCGACAGAGTGAGACTCCAACTCAAAAAAAAAAGAGCCTTGTTTAAGGTCCCCGCAGCTGGGGAATGGAAGAGCAGGGACTCAAACGCAAGACTGCAGGGTCCCACTCTGTACCCCAGTCCTGGGTGTGCCCTGGGTCTCTAACCCTAACCCTTTCCTCACCCGGGGTGCTCCCGGCCCGGTCCCCGACTCACTCTGCCAGCAGGAGTGCCAGTGGCGCAGGGCGTCTTGCGCCATTCGCCGGTCCCGCTCCTGGGCCCACCGCTGCGCCTCCTGCCATTGTGCCAGCCGTCGCCGCCACAGGCCCAGCACAGTCCTGCAGCTCCTGTCCCAGGCCCAGTGGGCGGCCAGCTCTCTCCGGGACCCTCGGGTTGCCGCCCAGTGGCTCCAGCAGAGGAGGATGCTGAGAAAGGAAGTGTCCACTGTGAGGATGGTCACAGTCCCCCAGACCAGCCCAGCCCCACTTCCCTGGGTTGTTGGGGGTGGGCCAAACGCCTCTCTGAAGGTCACACCAGGTGGTGAGGCTAGGTCTGGAACTCTAGACCTCCAATGCCAAGTCCAGTGCTCAGCCACTAGCCATGTTGCTACGGACTGAGTGCTTACTGTGTGTCAAGCAGTGTGCTAGGGGATGTATGTGCTCTTATCTCACTGATGCCCTATTGGAGTGAGTATTATTATTACCCCATTTTACAGATAGGGAAACAGAAGCACAGAGAAGTTAAGCAACTTGCCCAAGATGACACAGCCAGTGAGGGGCTAAGCTGGGATTAGAACCCAGGCTGACCAACTCTTACGCACTGTGCTATGAATGAAAAAACGTAAATAGAGTGACATCCTTTCTTTTTTCTTTTTTTGGAGTTGGAGTTGGAGTCTCACTTTGTCGCCCAGGCTGGAGTGCAGGGGCACACTCAGAGCCACGCCAGCGTCAACCTGCTGGACTCAGGCAATCCTTCCACCTCAACCTTCCAAGTAGCTGGAACTACAGGTGCGCGCTACCACATCCAGCTAATTTTTTATTTTATTGTAGAGACAAGGTCTCGCCAAGTTGCTCGGGCTGGTCTCGAACCTGTGGGCTCAGGCAATCTACTCGCCTCGGCCTCCCAAAGTGCTGAGATTATAGGCTGAACCACCAAGCCCGGCCTGAATGACTTCCTTGAACAACTTGAGACTATGATGCACACATATCATGAATAAAAAATGAATTAGAAATTAAAAGGAAAAAAAGAAGAAAACACGAATGAACCACAGCCGTGGTCTCCAAGAGCAACAGTGACCCAGCAGAGAGCCTCTCCCCTGCGCACTCTCAGTGGAATCGGGTAGGAGGACAGGAGCAAGGAACGAAGCCCAGGGGCCAGGCTGCCTGGGGTCTGCAGGGGCCACCCCCCCGCGGGCAGAACCCAAGGGGATGCTGTGGTGACACAGAGCCAGGAAACAGAGAGTCCACAGAGGCAGCAGCATGGCCCACGCATCCTGGGAGGATCCCTACCGCCTCTGGAGGGTGCGCCTGCACCACCTCGCTGCGCCCCGGGACTGCTGGGTCCGCGCCTGCCAGAGCAGAAGGCACCGTCCCTGCTGCCGCCGCCTAGCTGCCCACTGAAAGCTCGCCCAGAGGGTCTCCAGGAGGCTGGGGGTCCTGGGAGCCTGGGGAAGGAATATGCAGTCCTGGGTGCCCCAGACCCCCTACCACCCACCTGCCTGCCCTCGGTCCAGTGCCTTCCCACACTCTCCCCCTCACCTTCTCCAGCCAGTTGAGGGATGTGCTGCTGTCCAGCGAGGGCTCCCCTCCTGGGACACTGCCCCGTGGCTTCAGGGCCGAGGCAGTCTTGGCACAGCCAGACGGAGTGCCTGGACCTCGTGTCCTCAAGCGCCACCGTGTCAGGCTGTGCCATAGTGTCCGCCGCCGCATACCCTGGAAGAAGGAACTACAGAAGAGAAAGGTGAGTCCCAGAGCCCAGCCTCAGGCCCTGGTTGAGGGATGCCCCACCCTGGACCCTTGGAAAGGTGCTCATGACAGGTGACACTGGGAGGGCACTCTGTGCTGCCAATCAGGCCACACGCGGGGATCCCTGGGGCTTCATGGTACCGATGCCCACCAGGGTCCCATCTGAGATTCTGACCTAATGGTCTGGGTATGGCCTGGGCTTCCGGGCTTTTCCTGAGCTCCCAGGTGACTCTGGGAGCAGCCAAGGCTGACGCTCTGCCTGGGTCACCTGGCTGGTCCTAGCCACGCCCCAGGACAGGGGCGGGGCCATGAAGCTGACCAGGGTGGAGCTGAGCCCCAGGCCCAGAGACTCCAGACTCCAGAGTCCCTACCACAGTCACAATAGTACTTTGGCCTCCACTCAGTTACAAAAATAAGAATACAGAGGCCCGGGGGGAGGTCATTTCCTTAAACACCAAACAGCAGCAGACCTGGGACGCATCTTAGGCCAGTAGGGCGGTCCTGGGTACGCTACAGAGAGGCTTGGATTGCGCCCTGATGCCCGAGGGCCAGAGGGCAGACTGGGGAAGGGAGGACTACATTCTGAAGGATCATGATGAACTGAGTTCTCCTGGAGTTCTAGGGATGCATTGAAAGAGACTGAGGGTCCAAATGGACCAAGCAGGAGTGGGCATGACAGATGCCAGGTATGCGGCTTTCAAGGGTAGAGGGACAGAATTCTTTTTTTTTTTTCCTTTTTGAGTCAGAGTCTCACTCTGTCACCCAGGCTGGAGAGCAGTAGCACGCTCATGGCCAACACAGCCTTGACCTGCTGGGCTCAGGCAATCCTTCCACTTTAGCCTTCCAAGTAGCTGGAACTACAGGCATGCGTCATCACCCTTGGCTAATTTTTCTTGATTTATTGTAAAGATGAGGTTTCACCAAGTCGCCCAGGCTGGTCTTGTGGGGCTCAGGCAATTCTCTCACTTCGGCCTCCCAAAGTGTTAGGATTACAGGTGTGAGCCACCGTGCCCGGCCAAGGGCAATTCTTAACCCTGCAACTGCTGGCTTCCGCTCCTCTGACATCTTGTCAGGGAAGCTCCCAGCCACCGCTCGATGGCCCACATCCTGCACTCCAGGCTCTGAGTCCCAGCAAGGACCATCTGGGTAGAGGCAGCACCAAGGAGGTCTCACCACGGGGACCTTCCTGCCCCTGATTCACACTGATTCAGAGCGAGCTACTCCACCTCTGGGCCTCAGTGTCTCTAGCTGTGTAATGAGGCACTGGGGGAGAGGGGACAGGCTCTGCCCTTGGTTCCTTCCCTTATGCGTTTACCGTGTTTATTTTGTGCCTACAACTTGCCGGGCACCTACTGGTGCTGGGGAGACAGCAGTGAGGAGCCAGATGCGGTTCCTGCCACCGGGGGCTGGCACTGGCAGGGAGATGGGCTCCACCCAGGTACCGGTCATCCTGTTGGGTCCCTGGCAGCCCCAGGACCCCACGGCTCTGTGCTCAGTCACTGTCTCAGTGTCGCTAGGCCGCCTCCTGGACCTGGCATCTGCTGGGCACCACAGTGTGCCAGGCCCAAAGTGGGGCCACAGGGAAGAACAGGATGTGACCTGTGCCCTATGGGGCATCCCTCTAGACTCTGACCACCGCTCCTGTGTCCACCCTGTGTCCCCCAGGCCCAATCCCAGGTCACAAGCTCATGGACACCTACTTGGCACGCTGGCGCTGAGAGAGCCGCATCCTCCAGAGCAGAAGCGCCCGGTGGATGGCCAGTCTCCGGTAGGCTTCCTGTAGGGAGCCCCTGCCGTGCTCTGGGGGCAGCCCAGAGGCCTGGGGCACTGTCCCTAGGCCACGGGCTGAGGCAGCTCCAGGGGCTGAGCTGCAGAGGGTCACGTGCCCTGAGGAGCAGCCGAGAGGTGAGTCAGTCGTGTGTCCTGACCTCCTCTGCCCCGAGTCATCGTAGCTGCGGATACGGGGTCCCCTGAGGACCTCTCCCTTCACGGGCCCTCCCATCCCCCACCTCCTTCAAACCCTCCCCTCCAGGAGGCCTCAAAGATCTCATCTTCCCCCATCAGTCTTTGGGTGGGGACAAGGCTGTGTCCCCCATCAGACCAGGAACTTCAAGGGCAGCGTGGGAAGTGGGTACCCAGGGCTCAGGAAGCCTGCAGTGGGAGGGGACGGAGCAGTCTGTCTCTGGGGGGTGGGATGCAGCCCAGCCAAGGTCTGCCCGCTCCGGGGGCCCCTTCCGGCCCTCCCAGAAAGCCCCAGTTCTACCACCTCCCATCTCAGACTTCACCACATTCAACGGGGGCCCGCGAAAGAGGGAGTCCCATGGCACACCACTCGCTCACCCGCCTTCTGCTGGCAGAGGGACGGCTGGGTCACCTTGGCGCCATCTGAGGCCGGGAGCTGCTTCATCTGCACCCGCCGCCCCAGGCATGTCCTCAGGGTCTGCGCCCGGCAGTCAGCCAGGTGGTCCTGGTACCGGGTCCCAGAGCACCTGGGAAAGCAGAGAGAAAGCACCGTGTCCACTTCAAGGACTGCTGACCTCAGCTGCTGGGGCCGGATTCCTCCATGGAAGCCGGACCCCCCACTGAGACCTGGGGCAAGCCACTCCACCTCCCTGAGCCTTTGTTTTCTCATCTGCTCTGAGGATGCATGGTATGCCAGCTGCTCAGCCGCGACACCGTCACCTCTGGGTGCCTGGATGGGCCCAGCAGCCTCCGACCTGCCTCTGCTCTTGGCCTCTCCAGCCAGTCCCCACTCGGTAGCCAGAGTGGTGTTTTCTGTCTCAAATCATCCCACTGCCCTGCCAAGTCCTCCAGCAGCCACCCCCTTGCTCTACGAGGGAACTCCAGCTCCTCCCCACAGCAACAAGGACCTACGTGATCTGGACCTCATCTCCACCCCGGGCCTCAAGTCCTTCGCTCCCAGGCAGAGGGCACCACACTCTGTCCCCTCTGCTTGCCCTCCACTGGGTAACTACTCCTTCACATCGCCTCTGAACCGCGGCCAAGGTCACTTTCCTGTGTTTTGTTTTGTTTTGTTTTGTTTGAGTTGGAATCTCACTCTGTCGCCCAGACTGGAGTGC